TTCATATCCAAGAAGCTTTGCAGGAGACCAAACTCTCTACCCCATAGTATTCAGATTAATATTGTTTTTACAACAAATTATCCTTTTCCACCAGGAGTTTTTATCGTTGGCAAACTTCCATATCCACTTTTCTAATAATGATCTATTCATAAGCTCAAGATTTAGAACCCCAATCCCTCCAAACTCCTTAGGCTTACAGGAAATTTCCCAACTAACCCAATGAATTTTGTTTTTAATATTCGATTTCCCCTAAAGAAAATTTTCCATAATTGAGTTGATTCTCTTCAGAACACACCTTGGTAATCTAAAAATCTACATGAAGTATATTGGTAAGGAGCACAGAACCGACTTAATCAACACCACTCTACCAGCGATAGATAGGGAGGCAGACTTCCAAGCGGTTAATTTTTTGTAGAACTTTTGAATAATCGGATCCCATAGAGTAACTGAGTTTTTCTTTGGCCCAAGCGGAAGCCCCAAGTATTCCATTGGATAAGAACTCACTGTGCACCCTATTGTAGCAGCCCACTCAGAAATAATCTCGTCATTGACGTTGATACTGAATAACCTGCTCTTTGAAAGATTAATCTTCAATCCTGACATTAACTCAAAAATCAGAAGCACCCTTATCACATTTTTCAGTTCCCTAACATACGCATTGCAAAAAATTAACAAATCATCTGCGAATTGAAGATGAGAGAGTTGAAAAGAATATCCCGAACTCCCAATCTCAAAACCTCTAAACAAACCTAACCTCACTACTTTTGACAACATCAAGCTCAACAATTCGACAACCAAATTGAAAAGGAGCGGTGAAAGAAAGCAACCCTGACGAAGACCCATCGCAATCTGAAATTCATTCGAAGGAGAACCATTCACCAACACCGAAACGGAAGCCGTAGAAACACACATTTTCATCCAAGATCTCTATCTCTAACGAAACCCCATGCAATCTAGTAATTGCAATAGCAAATTCGTATTGATTGAGTCATACGCTCTTCTGAAGTCAACCTTAAAAGCTACTCCTTGAAGACCTTTCCTCCTCCAACAGTCGATTCCCTCATTCGCGATAAAGGAACAATATGTGATTTGCCGACCCAGAATGAAAGCAAATTGGGAAGGGACAACTACTGCATCCATACATTGACTTAATCTTCTGGATAACACCTTTGACAAGATCTTGTATAGTCCACCCACAAGGCTTATTGGTCTAAAATCCTCGACGGTTTCTGAATTTTATTTTTTCGGGATTAAGGTAATAAATGAATGATTAACCCCTTTATCCCAACTTTTCCCGACAAAGAAATCACAAAAAAACTTCATGATGTCATCTTTTAATTCATTCCAAAACTTTTTGAACCTTGTTGCTATCCGAAAACGAAATTGCATCCCAAACTTCTTCCACTGTGAAGGGTCTCTCTAAAAACGAATTCTGATCCTCTGAAATCCTGGAAAAGTTAAACTCCATCGCCTCTACCTCTAATGTAGGGTGCTTATTGAATGCTTCTTTAAAATAAGTAACCACGTTTGCTTTAATCTCATTAGGATTCGTCGTCAATTGTCCCCCCACTTTCAGCACTTTAATAGCATTAACCCTTCCTCTATTTGTTGCACACATATGGAAAAATCTAGTGTTACGATCACCCTCCAAGCACCACTTGACACGTGATTTCTGTAACCACACTGCCTCTTTTTTTTATATAGACCCCAAAGTTTTCTTCTTGTCGAACCCAAAGATTCCATAGAGATAGTAGTGGAACCTTGTTGAATTTGCAGCTCCGATTCATGAATTATTTTTTCCAACTCCACAATTGATCGTTACATACTGCTGAAACTGACTTTAGACCATTCCTTCATTACCAGTTTGGAACTTTTAAGAATACTGTATATTTCTTTCCCTCTACTACCTAGCCTTGCTCTATTGAATTCCTCGACCATTTTATCCTTGAAACCATATTATTCCAGCACGTAATTGAATAATCTGAAGGGTTTCAACCTCCAATCCTGGGCCTTACTTTCTAAACTAATTGCATTGTGGTCCGATAACGATCTCATGAGCAAAAACTGATTCACAGATGGAAACACCGACAAGAAGTTAACATCCACTAGAAACTTGTCCAGTCTGACAAATGTTGGATTATCCATATTATTGCTCCAAGTAAAGATACCACCCGATATAGGGAGATCATTCAGGCTAGCCTTCTGTACAAACTCATTAAAGATTTTCATTAAGAACTTGTCGTGACCTCTCCCAATTTTCTCTTTTTCTGACAGGTATGCATTAAAATCTCCTCCCAAACAAATGGGACTTTCCAATTGGCAGACAAAGACTAACAATTCCTCAAAAAAGATTCTTTTTCCATATCAACAGACGGACCATAAACGTTAATAAACCAACAAGAAATATACATTTCTTTCAGATTACCTTTAACTGCAAGAAACCTACCCTGTACATATTCTGTCTCCACCTCCAATTTACTTTCATCCCAAAGTGTTAACAATCCTCCTGATGACTCGACTGCCGGAGATTTTACAAAGCCATTCAAAAGATTTCCACCCAACCTCCTCCTTAAGGAAGGAATGATATTCTTCAGCTTCGTTTCTTGTATGAACATTAGCGTTAGCCTCTTCCGTATGATAACAGTTACTCCTAGACTTTTCTTTCCTGCCTAACCCCCTCACATTCCATATTATATAAAATTCAACATAAAAAGAACAGTCCCACATTATAGTCTATCTGCCATCGTCTTTTCCTCTGTCACTGCCTTCGCCTTTTCCATGAAAGCTTTTTTCCTCCTCGGAACGTAACATCCATAAATTTGATTACTTCCCAAGTAGCTCGAGCCTCTTCATCCTCATCCGAACAGTGCCCTATGGAGTTTGATTTTCCTTCCTCGTCTCTCTCGAATTGCTCCTGCCCCTGCTTCTACTATAAACTCTCTTGTAAATTTTATTTCCGATTCTGCTACATGTAGCCTTCCTTTCTATCGAGCGACCACGATTTGAAAGAGATCCCAATAAACTGAGAACCTCCTTCGATGTATCCTGGAGCAGTCCTTAAGTTGGAAGAATTTTTATTTGGAGAATTATATCTGAAAGACCCAATCACACTATCACGAATCTGCTTGTTATTCTCGTTATTTGAACCTGACATTTTCTGCATCATTAGGCTTTCACATTTATCCTGCTTAGTACAATCAATCTCCACCGTGTTTAGATATCATGGAACCAATTCCTCAATAATTCCGGAAGCAGAAGCACGGGCGCTACCTGTCATCAAATCTGGATCACACGGAACCAAACTCACCTTGTTCATTATTCCAACCTCTTGGGCATCATTGTCCCTCAATATCCCCTCAATATCGCATTGATTCTCCGGTGTTTCTTCAACCCATTCATCAGAAAAGTCTCCATCGCTCTCATCATTCGTTACCTCAGAATATCCATCAGTCGATAGCTCAACTTTGACTTTTATAATGTATAACCTATCATTGGTGTTAATTGAAATTGACTCTGCGAGAACAAACAGACTGCCCACTCGAATCACCATCTTCGTTGTTGTAAAATCCAGCTTCATCAAAGTTTTCTTCCTAATCTCTATTAACTCCCCCCACCGTGAGGCCAGGCTCGAAAAGAAGACCTCATTCCAGCAATTTAGAGGAACTCCGATTAGCGAGACTTCACAAAAGGCCAAGGGGCCTCCTGCTTCCAATAATACTGGTCTCAAACAGTCGAACCAGTAATTAAGCTCCAAGGATTTATCACTCAGGGCCTTCAACTTGTCCTATTCCGACAGAAAAGTAACTAGACATGAATTCCTGGCGTACCCCTATTTCACAGCATTAACGACAATACCTTCACCTTGCAACGCTCTTTGTATTAATTCCACTTCATACGAATGCTTGTGAATACCTGTCATGGACCACTTTAGCCATTTTGAAAACATTATAAGGCTCTTTCACAACTCTATTTCCCCTTGTTTGCTTGTTCGATACTAAAACCTCTTTGTACGATCTTTCATATTTGAAACTTCCAGAATATTCTCGTCCCTTCCTCGAATTACCTACTGCGCCACCACCAGTCTTCTCTGCAATCCCCTGAACATTTCCCTTAACCTCTACCGTCTTTTTATTTCTCTGATATTTGGCGATCCCCACAGATACTCTCAAACCATCAATCCAAGTACCATTGTTTTTCTCAATTGCATTCCTCATACCATTTTCAGTCGCAAACTGGACGAACACAAATTTAGCAGTTTTATACCTTGGTTTATTCAAGACATTCGGGATAAAGATCCTAACAATAGGACCATGACATAGGAATAGATCCCTTAATTCTCTTCTAGATACTCTCTTGGATAGCTTGTTGACAAAAATTGTCCATTCTTCACCAGAGGAAGAACGATTTTTCATACGCCATATGGCTCTTTCTCTATTCTGCTCACTCATATTAAAAACTCTGCAACCTCAACTTTAACTATTGAACCTCCCACGGAAAAATCAGCAGCAAATTAAACCAACAAACAAGAGAGAAACTGATAAGGAAAATGAAGGGAACTCAGAGTCAAATCTTGTACGAAGCCTCGCTCTTCGTCGCGCTTTCTCCCCCTCTCAAACAAAACTGTTTTTTTCTGTGTTTTTCACTAGTCAGATGATCTCAACTCTCAAAGTCTCTTCTTATACAACGAAAACAATCAGCACATGGAAGCTCTTCTTCTCCAATAAAACTGGTGGCATTGATAAAGAATGAAAAGCAGTGTCATTGCATTGTTATCCCCAAGCATCTTCCATGAAACCCTTCTAACAATAGACAAATCAACCACTTCTGCCACATGCTTATACTGACCCCCTAACGAGGGGCTGTTGATAATTCTTCAACAAATTTGACTTTCACATAACATAATTTATACCATCTGGTACAATATTGATTTTAACCCTTTTCTATATATACGAATTGGCCATCGTCAGAATGATGTGCTGCATTGAAACAGAATACCATGGTTCCTCTTGTTTCTATATTGCCCTTTACAAACCCTACCAAGAATTAGTATCATAGAAACCCCAAGTTTCTTATGACTCATCTGGAATTTTTGTTTACAACAAGAACCTCAGAATATTTTTTTTACCATTTGAGTTCAAATATTAGAAGAATTCTTTTGGTTCCTGTCTCATCGTTCATGCAACAAATTTCATGCATCGAGTGTCATTATGTATATTTTGGCATCGGCACGAACAAAAGCGCATACCACAAGTCACACACGTATATCTTGCACTAAAGCCACAAACGCTGCAAAAATGTCGGCAGGAAGTAGAGCTTGGAGGTCCAACTGCTGCCCTCAGATGGTTAGGAACAGGAGGAGGCAAGGATTCCAAGTTTGCCTTCAAAAATAGGAATTAGTTCAGGAAACTGAGGTAAAATCAAATGATTTGCGACATCACTATCCTTTTACCTCATTTAAGAGCTCAAGAAATGATCTGGGAGCCTTCCTAGCATTTTCAAGTGCTTTTGCCTGTCGAGTTTTTCGTTTCATGCCCTTGGATCTCTTTTGCATGTACGCTGAAAGTAGAAGTTAAAGAAAATGAACAAAGTTCTAAAACAAGAAAAACAAGGTGACCCAAATAGTAAAACAGCTTCCCAGACCTAACTTTAGAAGAGAAAGTTCAAAGATAGTTACATTTCATTCACAACTTCAAATAACTACTGCCCTTCTAAAATTGTGTTGGTTGAATAAAGCAGGTCATGAAGGTGGGAAACATATTAATGGCCAAATACTTTGAAGCTTCAAACATTTAGTGGTAGTTTTTTAACAGTCCAAACTCACTGTAACGAATCATCAAATATTTGGCAAAAGGAATAAGTATACGGAAAGGGTACATGAACAAAACCATGGCAGAATAGTACAAAGATATGATACTGATGTTACCACGACGGTTTGGCAAAATGTCCTTCAACTATGACGTACTATGAGGTGGGGTGGCGACTGGATCGCTGAATTCAATTGGTTCAATAAGAGGGTTCTAATTGCACCTCTTAATATAACCAAGAACTGAGCAGACATAGACTTCAAGAAAGATCTCAGGGGACAGAATTAATGTGAAGATTGTGTAAAATTGCAGATTAGAAAATGACATGTCTGTTTCGCAAGTTGGATTATTTTTGCTGATGCTGTGCTACGGGTGTATTAAACTTGTAAAACCGCTTTATCCAGTTCACTTTTTAGTAAGCTTCTAAGTACAAAACTGATTTATAATAAAAAAAATCAAGGATAGGAATATTAGTTAATCAAAGATAGGAATATTAGTTATGCTATAACATCTGGTGCAACATCCTTTTAAAAGACTTTCATGTCATAACTTGTAGTGAAACACGCACTTAAGCAAAACTCTGAATAAAACCATCTCTCAAAAGGTATAATGACCCAAAAAAATAATACCCCTAATGTTTGACTAAATAGTTATTTTGATCCATATTCTTTTTTTTTAGCATTTTATCCCCCAACGTTTCATTTTAAGGGAAAAAGCCTTCTAACGTTTGACTAAATAGTCACTTTAGCCCTTACTCTTTTTTCTGGAGCATTTTGGTACCCGATGTTTCATTTTAAGGCAGAAAAGACTCCAATTTTAAAGTGTTGGCCATTGTTAACTAATGATTTTAATCCACGAAAGAGATTTTTTTTTTGCTTCAAAATGAAATGTTGGGGGCCAAAACGCTAAAAATAGAATAGTGGTCAAAGCGATTAGTCAATGTTAGGGGTATTTACTGTCATTATGCCCTCTAAAAAAGATGCATACACCAAGAATGTTTAACTATGGCAACATAAATCATACTCTTAAGCATTACTAAGATGAATAAAGTTTATATTTTCAACTTCACTTTCTCGGGTAGGAATTCTAGTGGTTGAAACAAAGATCTTCCTAATTACTTTCACCGACAACAAAAATCAACTAACAAAAGATGTTTTTTATTTGCTATTTCTGAGACAATAACAAAATGAACTAGCAACTTAATTCAAATGTTTAATACCCTTTTGTCCTACTAAAGAAATAAACCATTTTCCTAATAAAAAAAATTCACATAATGAAAGAAGGAAACCTTGATCATCTTCATCAAGAGAAGCTTCATCATCATCGTTCATTTCAACTGTTTCAATCCCAGCGTTATCATTCTCCAAAGCTTCAAGACGGGCCAAAGCTGCCTTTTCTCCCCCCCCCCAACGACATTAAACCCCAGTCAATTAATTTCCAAATATTTCACAGCAAAAAATTGAAAACTAACAGATGTATAAATTCAATAAGAAAAAGAACCTGGGTTCGATTATCAGAACTGCCGAGTGCTGCAGCCATTTTAGGAGCCACTTTACGAGTACGGGTCGACATTCTGCGCAACGCGTTGGAATTGTCGTCATCCATAGCTTCAAAATAAATCAAAAGGCGAAAAATTTTATTTAGTAATTAAATTTGTATGGTAAGAGAGAGCGGTAGAGGATAAATATACCGGAGGTTAAGTAGTGGCCAAAGAGGTAACTAAGCGGAGGTCAGCGACCGTGACGTAGACAGTGGGGGTGGTGGCAAATTCTGGAAAATAATATGGAATTCATTGGATCGGATTTAGAAGCACAGCAGTGTAGTTAAGGATATTGGGCTCAGCTCTGTTTTAACCTTTAATGGGCTCAATTAAAGTTAGTGTAAAATATATAAATAGTCCCCAAAGCTTTAGATAGTTTTCATTTTGGTCACTAAACGTTTGAAAATTGTAATCCAGTCATCTAACTTTTAGTTCGTTTTAAATAAGGTTCCTGCCGTTACCTCTATTAGTTTTTGTTGACGTGAACTGCAGTTAATCCCTCATTCTTCTTCTATCGGATTATGTTATATATTTTCATTGAACTGGAAAACTATGCATTTACACCACGTCATCATCCTCGACCATGACATCTCCGAATATTGCCCAAATTCATTATAGGGAAAACTTGAGGACCATCATTAAGGGAGTTAAAGGATTTATCTCGTCAAGGTCACCTTTCCATTATAGGACTTCAAAACGTAGTGGATATTCAAGATTCGAGGATTGCCAACCTAAGGTAAAAACACTACCTGAAGGAGTTAACCCTCGAATGAAGCGACGATTGTAAAACGAGACACAACCAAATGCAGGTCCTTGAGCCACTGCAACCCTCGAAAGATCTCCAACGATTGTCAATTTCATATTACGGAGCTACAAAGTTCCCATCTTGGGTAGGGAATCCTTATTTTGCTAAAATGGAGCAGCTAGACCTCTTGGACTGTATAAATTGCAAATTATTGTCATCACTTGGGAATTTACCGTCACTCATAAGCTTAAACTTAAGAGGCATGCATGTAGTGGCAAAGTTGGATCCTGGAATTTTCGACCATGGTTTTTTATCTTTGGAGATCTTGAGGTTTGAGAACATGTCAGAACGGAAAAGAATGGATTTCATCTATTAGCGACATTGATGGTTTCCCTCGTCTTCGCGAGCCTATATTGAACAACTGTCCTAGATTAACTGGAACGTTACCAAGAACCCTTAGTTCTCTGGTAAAACTAGATGTTCAAAACTGCCCATGGTTAACAAATTCACCATTAAGCTTCCTATTCTTAGATGAATTAACCATGGAGGGCAGTAGCAAAATGATTCTTAGGAGTATAGTTGGTCAAAACATCACCAGCTTGAAACTCAAGGGAATATCAAACCTTACCTACATAATTGAGGAGGTATCAAAGGTCTTAACGAAACTCAAAATTCTGCAGATTGAAGGTTGTAGTAAACTAATATATTTGTGGCGGAACGGAGCCGAATTGCAAAACCTGCATCAGCTAAAGAGTTTAGTAGTAAACGCATAGTAGTAGTAGTAGAAGAAGAAGAAGAAGAAGGTTATATTAGTACATAATTGAGGAGCTATCCAAGGCCTTAACGAAACTCAAAATTCTGCAGATTGAAGGTTGTAGTAAACTAATATATTTGTGGCGGAACGGAGCCGAATTGCAAAACCTGCAACAGCTAAAGAGTTTAGTAGTAAACGCATAGTAGTAGTAGTAGTAGAAGAAGAAGAAGAAGGAGGGGTTAACGAAATTTAAGTGCCACATCAGCAAAAAATAATATGAGATAATGATAGGGACTTTATTGAAAATGAACTAAAAGTTTGACGGTTGTATTATAAATTTCAAAAGTTAGATAACCGAAATGTAAGTGCCCTAAAAGTTCAGGGACTATTTATATACTATACCCTTAAATTTATTCATATTTGGATTTTTTTTCAATTTTTACATTCGTTTTAGATTAAATTATTAAAAGAAATTAAAATAAAAATTTTATTGAAATTGAAATATTTTTAACAAGATGATTGTAAAGAATTATTAATTAAATACATCATAACAAAAAAATCTTGGTGTTAAGTGTTATAATATTATAAACGATTTATAAATATGGGCATGTAATTTAATTTTCTTAATAATAATAATAATATAAATTATCGTTAAAATTAAAAAAAATTGAAAAATGAATGTCACACACTAATATTATTAATTTTGTTTTAATAATAATAATTTTGTAGGTGGTGTGTGGTAGGGGAGATGGGCGGTTTGTTTGGTTATTTTCAAGCTAATCTGTAACATCTGCCGTTGTGATCTCCGCCAACATTAACAATAACAAAGCTCAGCTTATTTAATAGAGACAGAATATCAAACAATAGGCATGCACGGTCTGCGCCTCGCTTCATCCGCTAATCCCCACCCTCTCTTCACAATGTCCGGTGCCTCTCTCGCTCTCCCTTCTTCCCTCTCTTCGCTTCGCTCCAATGGACCTCTTCCTTTTCGATGCTTCCGCCTCAACAATCCCTCTAGATCTAGGGTTTTCATGAGCGTCTCCGTTGGATCCCAAGCTGTCGTCGATGATGCCTTGTTCGCTGATTACAAGCCCACCTCCGCCTTCCTCTTTCCCGGCCAGGTTACTTCTTTATTCCATCATTTCTTGACAACTTTAAGCTCTACTTAGCTAAATCTATTCTCATTTTAAAAGCTTTTTTTTATTAACTTTTACCCTGATGAATCGATTTTGTATTGGTCCCAATGTATACCATGAAAATTTCAGGGAGCTCAAGCAGTTGGAATGGGAAAAGAAGCACAGAATATGCCTGCTGCTGCAGAATTGTATAACAAGGCAAACAATATATTAGGGTACGCAAAACTTGGGAATTAGTTATTTTACTTTAATTTGTGATAATTTAGTCTTATTTGTAATGGTCTGCTCTAGTCCAAATCACTAACAAGGTTAAAAGAATTAGTTAATCAGTTGATGAGAAACAAAAAAAAATCCAATTCATGAGGATGAGTTAGATTTGTTTTTTGTAAATGATAAATTAGTGGAAAATGGCTACTTTGATCATCAGCTCACGAACATAATTTTTTAACGGTGTTTGGTATTTGGACTAAACCCAAATATTAATGATAGTAAGACAATCAAATTATGTAAATTGAAGTATAAAGACTAAATCCTCAAATTGAGTATAGTACAGTGATGAGAACTATAATTTGACCAAAATTTAATCCATAATATGCTATCCCCTTATTTTAAAATTATCTTTATAGTTTAACTATGTTCCAGCTGCTTGCAGTTTTGATCTTCTAGATGTTTGCATCAATGGTCCTAAGGAAAAGTTAGATTCAACTGTCATAAGCCAGGTACATTGCATTGCTTATTTACTTGCCCTCCTTTACAAATGATGTTGTGTTGCTAATGTTGTATTACTACGGTCTCAAGAGGGAGCAATAAATTAGTTTTACTCTGCATCTTTGCAGCCTGCTATTTATGTCACAAGTCTAGCTGCTGTGGAGCTTCTTCGTGCCCGTGATGGAGGCCAGCAGATTATTGATTCTGTTGATGTTACGTGCGGCCTCAGCTTGGGAGAATATACTGCACTAGCATTTGCTGGGGCCTTTAGGTGAGTGTTTTCAGTGTCAATTATTGAAATATTATCTTGAGCTTAGACTCGATACTTCATAATGACTAATTAAATCATCCAAAGATGTTGTATATCCATGTTTAAAGCATACAGAGGTTCCACCATCAGTCTACTACTATTTGAGTTGGTATGCAGAAAAAGAAGAGAAATATGACTAATGCTCTTTCCCCTATGAATTTTGATTTCATGTACTAAAGCTTTGAGGATGGACTCAAGCTTGTTAAACTAAGAGGAGAAGCAATGCAGGTAATGATTTGTTTCTATCTGATAGTGCCTTGTAGTGTGGCTGATTTTATAGATGATGTCGGTGATCCTCATTCTTTCTGCCTTTAGGATGCTGCAGATGCTGCTAAAAGTGCTATGGTCAGTATCATAGGACTTGATTCGGAGAAGGTTCAGCAATTATGTGATGCTGCCAACGAAGAAGTTGATGTAGCTGATAAAGTTCAGATTGCGAATTACCTGTGTCCTGTAAGAATATAAAATTCATTTATCTTTGTTGATCGAATGAGTTGTGCTTGGTATTATGCGTATTACGAGAATATATATGCACCAGCTTATGGCACTGAAAATATGTTTTTCCTTTGGCAGGGAAATTATGCAGTCTCTGGAGGTCTCAAAGGAGTAGAAGCAGTGGAAGCTAAAGCAAAGTCTTTCAAGGCTCGGATGACGGTGATTCTCCTTTTTCAAATTCTTTAATTTCTTTTGTTGTGCTAAGTTGGTCGTCTAGTGATAATACGACTGGTAGTGATAACATGGTTTTCCCCTTTCACAGGTGCGTTTAGCTGTTGCTGGTGCTTTTCACACTAGTTTCATGGATCCTGCAGTCTTAAGATTGGAAGCTGCATTGGCAGCAACCCAGATTAGAACCCCAAGAATACCTGTTATATCAAACGTTGATGCTCAGCCACATACAGATCCTGAGACAATAAAGAAGATACTAGCACGCCAAGTAAGCTGCTTAATACTACTATTTTTTTTGTCTCTCCCATGGGGTAAGAATAACGATTAAGCATGCGGATGAAATCGCAGGTGACCTCTCCTGTACAATGGGAAACAACAGTGAAAACTTTGCTGACCAAAGGGCTGAGAAAGAGTTACGAGTTGGGGCCTGGAAAGGTAAATAAGAATCTTACCGATTGCTTTAGCACAAGCTTCTTCTCTCTTTAGTTTCTCATTGTTTTGAGTTTGTTTGGATTATGTGTCAGGTCATAGCTGGGATTGTGAAGAGAATGGATAAAAGTACAGAGATTCAGAACATTGGTGCTTGAGGGGGAACTAGATGTTGCTACTCAAGTTATCCAATGCCATCATATTGACTGATGGTTTAGATGTATTCGAGTAAGAAATGATAGTTGAAGTTTTGAGCAATTATGATCGGCAAGTTCATTATGAAGACTTGGTTTCCTTTGTGTTATTATCAATTTCCAAATTCTTAGGCAATAACTGATTGACATTACGAAGAGCTTTATTATTATGTTGTGTGAGATTAAAGATTTTATTATGAAGACATCACATTATGGCGTCATCAAGTATATCAATATTATAATCTTTAGAGGTTATGTAGGTTGACATGTAAAATTTGTCAAAAACAAAATAGGCTGACATGTAAAAAAGGTCTAAACAGTGGAGTGCAAGAACAGAGATGTTTTGCCAATACAAGGGATAAGGCCAAATATTTGCCTGAAACTCAGAAACCAAAATCTATGGAATCAAACTCAAATAATCGGCAATGCCCATTCAAGATTTAAATTACAATTATGGCTACGGTTGAGCGTTATTGGTTATGTTGCATTTGTTGCGATTGTACACATTTATTACAAATGTTGGACGATACTAATACCACTATATAATAATTATTATTTCGACAACGAATCTCTGTGCCCATTGTCTTATAATATGATTCAAAGTGAAATATCAAACAAAGATTTTTTTTTTTTTTCACTCAGCTAAGATAGGCTGGTAGTTTTCAAGTGTGTCATCGTGATTGGTATCTGAATCGCTGCCACTGTCATTGTTACTCTGCATATTTTTTGTGCGCATAGGTGATGAAACGTTTTGAATATGGAAAATAACACGACATTAAAAAAATTAAAAATGGTTTAAAATAATACCTTCGGTGAGATCGGTCGGAGAGGTGGACATGGCGTCCAGTGTTAGTTGTGAAGCAAATACAGAGAGATCCAGAGTCAGAAAGATAGGCCCTGAATCAAAAGTATTTGGAAGAAACAACAAAATGAAAGACAACAATGCACCAGAATCAAACCCAGGTCTATTCCGAGGCAGTGTTCTATTCTACCACTAGACCACTGGTCCGATACAAATTTTATATATTAGATTACTATAAAAATCTACTGCTTGACCTGCACTCTTCTGCAGGAGATGCGCAATAATCTCCATAGCATTATCTTCTTTATTTTTCTTAGCGTGAGAAATTGTAATTTTATCATTAAACTTCCAGATATAACAGTTTAAAGCATGTACTACGTTGTGTTTTTTTTGTCCAGTATATGACTTCATCTTTCACCTGGTAAACTCTTGACAGAATGCAAGAATAAACAGTGGCCCATAATCTTTTGAACATTGCTACTTGAGGAAAATAACCAAAATCAAAACCAACAAGTGTGCAACTGAATGCAAAACAGGATGTACCAAAGCAATTGAAGCTACTTGAATCAGCTTCAAAAACAAGACTTCATAATTCATGAAATGCATGTGCAGCTGGTGAATATATATATCATCTACTATTAAATGTCTAATCTTTCCCCATAAAGAGAGCCCCTCCTCACGTGAAGAAGCGTAGGTTATTAGCTATGGCGTCTTTGTCAAGAAAGAGGAGCTTTATAAACTCTAAACCCTAAAATTCTTAGTTCCTCACATGCAGAGTTTGACCCTGTGGATCATTATTAATCTTCCCTTTTCCCAACACATTAACACACAACTTTAATTTAAAGCCATGTTTAAGGTCTTATTAGCATCCCAAATGTTAGTACCCAAACACCTAAGCAGAGATGAACCGATGGATTTTGAGATACAAGTCGCATTCTTTAAAAATTTCAAATCCCCAAATACTATAGATATTTTCTTTATATTTTCGATTTAGTTTCGCATTCCCTTAACTTTTATAATTTTACATCACTAATTTTTTAATATAACTTTTCTAAGTTCGTATCCGTAACATAAATTTATATATTCATCACCGACTGTAATAACAATCCTCTTTCCCTACTTCTAATGATATCAGGACAATTCACATGGTCAATGATTTTCAAAGACGGAAGGTAGGAGGGACTAGTGGGGTCATGCCCCAAATATTTTTAAAAAATAATAGGTATAATATTAAACTTAGTCATATATATTTTTTACTAAAATGGTCATTTTAACTCTTTTTTTAATATTTTGGCCCTCAATATTTTATTTTGGGACAAAAAATTTCATTTATGGATGGAAATAGTTAGTTAAAAAATGTTTAACACTGTAAAATAGAGATATTTTTATCCTAAAATGAAACATTGAGGGCTGAAATACTTAAAAAAAATAATCAAGGTCACTATTTGTTAAATCTTACGGATAACGTTACTTAAAAAATATGAAATTAAATGACTAATTTAATCAACGTAAAGAGTTTTTTCGGCATTATGCCTAAAATAATATATATACATCTATTTTTTGTATTATTATTTTATTTTAGGCTTTAATATACAAAATGTGTCCAACATATGTCCATTTTTCCAGTTCAGTGTTTAAGGTTTTTTTCGTTTCAGTTTGGTGTCTAACGTTATATTCCGTAACTCAGAATGGGTCATGCCGTGACGGACCGTTAGTTTTTTTCGTTAAGTGACACATGTCACAATCTGGTAATTTTAAAAATTTATTTTTAAAAATAAATATTAAAAATATTATTATATTTATAAAAAAAACCCTTATTTCTTTTAAATTACAAAAAAGCCCAAATCCTCACACCGAAGCTTACCCACATCGGCGGACGGCGACTACGACGTGACCCACCGGTTGGGTTTTGAGCGGACGGCGATGAGGAAGCTAAATATAGTGGCGGTGAGGCGAACGGAGGTTCGAGGCGGCCGGAATCGTCCAAAATCTGAGGCGTCGGGGGTGGGTTTTCGACGAAACGATTCCGGCAAACGACGATGGCTATCCATGGGTTGTTTTGGGGGTTTTGATCATGGCGGCGAGGCCCTTCGATTGGGTTGGGCGGTGACAGGAATGGACGAGCGACGGCAGTGATCGGCTTGGGTTTAGGGGTTGAATTGAATGTTTTTAAAGTTTTGAGATTGTTTCTTTTATTGAATCATTTTCAATCCTCAATCTCTTGACTTGTATGAACAGTTCCATGTGTTGGTTATTGTTGCAGATGGCCAGGTACTCTCATGCCTGTTTTGTCAAGAGATTGGGGATTGAAAATGATTCAATAAAAGAAATAATCACAAAACTTTAAAAATCTTCATTTCAACCTCTAAATCCATATCGATCGCTGCTGTCATTTTTTTGTTCCTGTCATCGCCCAGTCCAATCGAAGAGCCTCGCCCCCATGATCAAAACCCCCATAACAATTTGTGGATAGTCGTCGCCGTTCGCCGGAATCGTTTCGCCGAAAACCCACCCCGACGCCTCGGATTTTGGACGATTCATGCTGCCTCAGACCTCCGTTCGCCTCACTGCCACTATATTTAGCTTCCTCGTCGCCGTCCGCTCAAAACCCAACCGGTGGGTCACTTCGTAGTCACCGTCCGCCGTCGTGGGTAAGCTTCGATGTTAGAATTTGAGTTTTTTTGTAATTTAAAAGAAATAAGGTTTTTTTATAAATATAATAATATTTTTAATATTTATTTTAAATTTTTAAAATTAACAGATTGTGACACGTGTTACTTAACGGAAAAAACTAACGGTCTGTCACGGCGTGACCCATTCTGAGTTACAGAATGTAACGTTAGGCACCAAATTAGAACGGAAAAAACCTTAGGCATTGAAATGGAAAAACGGGCATACATTGGACAACGAAAATTTAATTTTACTTTGTCACTTTTTTATTTCAAGATATAATTTTTTTGTTTGATTGCTTATTTTCTTTGAGGTATTCATCTCCTTTGAATTGAGGACTTTAATCAATGTTATCAAATTATTAAATATGTAACTTTTAATTTCATTTTAGTTGAAAGTAGTTTTTTAAAAAAATGTTTTTAAAAAGATTATATTTATGATTTTATTTCAGTATTTATATTTAATACGTGGGTTCATAAATTTTTATTTTTAGAAGTAAGAATTTAGACAAAATTTTAAATAACATTATTATCGATGTATTTTATTTCATGTGAAGAGATAAATTTTAAATATTTATAAAAAAATTTATTAGTATGATATTTTAATATATACAAAAAATTTAATTGTCACCCTCAACGAATAATATTGAGTTTCGTACCGATGATTTTCTTCTCAATAAAAAAAAAACATATTTGGCAAAGGCAAACGGAGAAGATAATTAAAAGTTTTGTTTAAGTCCAAAGAGTCTCTCTCTTGAGAGGTAGAGGGTCTTGGATTACATTGGTAGAAGAAGAAGCGAAGTTAAGGTATCGGGAGATGGGATCTAAGTTATTATTAGTGGGTTGGTGTATCTGAGTCGACTCGTGCTGCATCTGAATGCAAAGTATCTTGGTCTGAGCCACCGCGAGCTGCATCTGCAAGTGTGAGACTTGATTTTGAAGGTAGGATATGGCCCCTACGCATCCGTACACAGGGTCCCTCACTCTTGCGTTTGCTTCATAAACTAAGCTGCTTACAGGCTACAGCATCTGCTCTCTGCTCAATCGCCAGCTCCTATAACATTCATAAAAAAGCATACATTATGACCTACATTATTTCAAATATAAATCATAAAAGGGTAAAGTATAAAAATGGTCCCCGACTATAGGACTCTACTTTATTGAGTCTCCAACTATTAAAAGTTATAAAATGATCATCCGACTATTCATGTGTTCCACACTCGTCCTTTTTAGTTAAAAATTGACGGTCGTCTGAACTGGACGTTAATCTATTGACTAAAATATACTAAAACTATATTTTACATGCACTATCATTGCTTTCAATCACTGGCTCGATGGCATAATACTTCAACCATTAGCTTGATAGCATAATATAAATAGAGACTTGATCCACAAAATAAAGCTCAAATGGTTCTCATATAAAATTTTATCATATCTCAATTAGCAGGTTCATATCCAACTCATACGACGTCAATGTTCTAATAGAAAATGATGAGTTTGAAAAATACGAATAGTCGAGTGATCATTTTATAATTTTTAATAGTCGGAGACTAACAAAATCCCTATAATGGAAGGATCATTTGTGTACTTTAGCCATGAAGAGATGAAAATTAAGGAAGAAAAGAGAGGTGAGAGAAACCTGCAACATTTTGCTAACATTCCTAGCGCCAAAGACTTTATGAACAATGGCGAACTTGGGAGGATCGTGGGAAGGGAAGTAAGGAGCAAAGATGCAGTCTTTGGCGCGTCGACGCCTCAGCAGTTTGCATGAACCACATGGCGAAGAGGCACCCATTATATCTACTGATCCAAGTCTTAGTTTTGATTTTTGAAGAGAATGGAGATTAAAACGGGTATTTATAACGCTTCAATGGAATGGGGTGCTCCACTCCACTTGTTTCATGATTTTTAAAAAAATAAACCTTTGGGATCGAATCGATGAAAGGCGGCCAACTATAGTATTCTATTAAGTCTCAAAATTAATAATTTATAAATAATTAAACCAACGGAGTAATATTTTAGTTTACACTTACGTCCCTGTATAGCACAAACATTCATAATATCGTCAAGGTCAGTTCACAGTAATAATAAGTTCAACAACGGGTGTGAGTTGACCAGACCACCGCCTCGGCGCGTGATAGGTTGTCATCCATGCAGCTGCACTTGTGTAATCCCACGTTCCTCTTGTTCGACTCTTCATCAACTTTTCTATACATTAAGACAGTAAAATTAATAGAAATTAGGTTCATTTTCAAAGAACGATACCCAATAAGAATGTAATACAAATGATTTAAGTGAGAATGTGTGAAAAAAGTAGTTAATTTACACTGTCAAGGTGAGTGAGAATGTGAAATGAAGTTAAAAATTATAAACGTCATAAAGGGGATCGAGACGATGAGAAATGCAGTCAATATGAATGTTTGCTTGCTTACAATCACAATCACATAACATACACACACTTTATAAACACCCACATCGTTTGATTGCGAATCTCCATGTGGGCTGTCATTAATGAACCTTTACTTTATGAATATCATATGCCAACACAGATATTTCTTATTACACTTTGTTTATATAGAAACTACTTCCCCATATTGACTTGTCTAATTATTCAACTAAGTTTCAATTAAGCTTCAAGTTAAACTAAGTTTATAACTAATACTAATTATTAACATATATATTAGCACTGTTAATCCATATCACTTGATAAAAAATTTTAATTTAATTAAATATCAGTACATTTAAAAATAATATATATGGCAAGATATACTTATATTATTATATAAAATTAATAAGTTTTACACTAATTTATAGTCATTAGATCTAAATAAATAAATGATAAATTTAATTAAAATTTATAATCCATAAATAATATATATATATATATCTTTTAACTCACATTAAAATAATATCTCTTTTTGCCTCAATCTTAACCCTAAACATCTACCCTAAATCCTTAAACCTTGTATTCTAAAGCATAAACCCTAAACTTCAAATCACATACTTTGGCACTCAAGCCCCAAACCATAAACATTGAAGCTTAAATATTAGATCCTAACTCTAAAAATAAAAATATTATTTTATTGTGAGTTAATGAAATATTTATTTATAGGGTATGAATTTTAATTAAATCTAAATGGTTTATTTATTTGAAATGATTATAAATTGGAATAAAACTTATTAATTTTATATAGTGTAAGTGGAGCCTAACCGTTCATATAGGGTTAGGATTCACTTACACCGTGTATATAAATTTTAATTTATTTGATATTTTATTAAAATTTATGAGTTTGAGATCATAACTATTTTTGAATTAATAATATATAAATATATAAAGTATTATATGTTAAAAATAATTATTATATGTGTATGATCGTGTCATGTCATAAACATAAAATTAATGGAATATTTTGTAATAATGATAAGTTCCTGGCCTCACATTTACAAAAAATAATAGCAGAAAATAGTAAACCTAGAAGGGATTAATGAGATCCGACATGAAGCTGAAGTTTAAGAATAATTTAAAATGGAAGAGTTTGTAGGAGAAAACCCTAAGACCTATCGAGGACTGTTGCATTAAATGCCCTCTCTCATCTCCACTTCCAACTAAGCAAAAATAGGGTTTTCCTGGTTGTCATGGGTGATATATATATATATATATATATATATATATATATATATATATGAGATAATATTCAATTATATAGTATAATTTGTTTTTATTTTTATATATATATTTAAGATTGTTAGATGAATTGAAAATAAATGAATGAAATTATTAATAAAAAATGAAAAAAATATTCACTTAAAAGTAATAATAAGTTAAACTAATTCTTCTATTTTCACATGGTCTTAAATTTTCATAAAGCTAAAAATTATTTACATTATGTAAGTAGAACTTAACTATATATAAATCACGCCTAGTAAGTTATAAATCAAATCTATGTCAAATCTTTTATTTTATTTTTATCAAAAATTAAAATAAAAGTTTGATAAGATTTTATAGATGTATTATAATATGTGTTAGATAAATTTATTTATTTTAATAATTTATTTATATTTTTATTTTTAAAAATGAACTAATACCAATATTTAAATTTATATATTATTTAAAAGATTTAATGTATTAAACTAGTTAATACTTTTGGAAAATATGGTAATACATGACTTATGGATAGCCTCCCTTGACGAGAGCGGGCATGATTTAGCGATTAGTTGGATAAAATCACTCATTTAGGGTGGAGAAAATTTTATTAATTAGTGTTTTATGTAATTTATAGTAACTAAAAAGATGTCGGAATTATAACGTGTCTTAAGTAAAGATGTCGAAATTACGATGCGTCTTTTATATTTCTTCTACATTGAAGATGTGTCATTGGACTGTCTTTTGATGACATTGTAATTTCTTCTTAGTTGAGAAAATAAAAAGAGCAACACTTGAATTTTTTTTCTTCACTGTCCCACCTGATTGATTTTGCCCGATTAGTTGTATAGGGTCGTGATGGCTTTTTGTGGTGGTTGGAGGTAGAGCGTGATTACATATCTTAAATCTGTCAAAAAGAATATATTAGCAGGGACCAACTACACAATTTGACTAACTTGTTTTATTGACTTGCCTCATACAAACGTGCATTCTCTTTCCTTGATAGTTCAAACCCCTAGTCGCTAGGGAAAGGAGGAACACCGAGTCTAGAAGCCTTGTAAAAGTATCCTTTACCCTAATATTTTATGGATGATAAAACAGACATCTGTTCACATTCTTAGAGGCTTATAAAACATGCAAGCTCATTAAGTGAAGATTCGGTGGAGAGTAGAAGCAATCTTTGACAATTATTTTCAACTGCTTGTACAGCGTGAACTTTGCTTTCCAACATATATAATATCTCATCCATTCAATATTTATACAACGGAAGGGGAAAGCTGTAATCACGCACATCATCCAGCTCGTTTCCTAATGAGTTTTGAAGACACCAAATTTTTCATTTAATATTATATAATATGTTTATATTATAGATTATATAATATTGTACAAGCATTTACATTTATTTTACACATTTTCAGGCCCCATCAAACAACCCGTTGCCCGTGGCCCAACAAGACCCAAGTCCCACATGACCCAGTCATGCAGTTTGAACTAGTGTAGGATTAGGGTTTGTGTGAAACCCTAACAGCTTCTCCACCAACGCTGCATCCCTTGTTTCCAGCCGTTCGAAGACCCCATGCCTCACACGCCTCTCCCCTGTACATCTCGGTCAACCAGCCCGATCTTTACGCCGATCGTTCTCACCACCAACAACGTGAGTCGAAGGGATTCAACCACAACCAACCAAGCAGTGTTAGAATCCAAATAAAATTCTAAAAATTAGGGGCTAAGAATAGTTTTTTAGACTATAAATATGCTTGTAATCAAACTCATTATACACAAGGATTTTCATACGAAATACAAACAGAGAGTTTCGAGCAATATCAGAGTAAAACCGAAACGTTTTTGAAATTTTCGAAAAGAATAAGAAGGTAAAATTCATACCTTTGTTTGCTTTTATGCTTGCATGTTGGTTATCGTCATGTTTTTGATTCGGAATCACTCGTAGGAGAGTTCGCCCAAGGACCAAGTGGGTTGCTTTCGAAGCTATTTCGCTAGATCTACGCGGCCCCGAGGCCGTTTTGGAAAAATTACTCGGATACTTTAAACGAGGAAAGGAATAGCTTTTAAAAATCAAATTTTTTGAGGTTTGCCACCGATGAAAGGTAGCCGGTGAGGCGGCGTGTGGCCAGTTTTTGGAAACCATGGTCGTGTTCTTTATCCCTCAAGAACACGTGAAGAACATGCAGAGGATTTTAAAAAACTTGTTTTGATCCATTTTGGAAAAAATGAATAAAATGAGAAAGTGAGGGAGTGTTTTCAGAAAAGTGGGTTTTATAGCTGACCCATTTGGACCGTGACCCGACCCGTGACCACATCTGACCCGCGTGTTTTTGAGAGAAATAGGGTAATTCTCTCTTTTGGTCCCCCGTACTTTTAAAAGCTTTATTCTGACCTAAAATCCCATCTTTACTTTTAATTTCCTTTTAATTTGGTCACCCAACCTGCTTTTTAATTCAATTTGATCCTTATATTAGTATTTTTATTATTTTATATTATATATATGTTTTTATATATTTTTTATTTATATACTTATTATTAATATTTGTATAGTTTTTAATTATTTCGTTTGGTTATTTCTTTATTTAAGTACCATATCCTATATATATATATGTTTTTCTATTATTTTTTCATTTTCATTTTCATTATTATTATATCATACTAGTTTTATTTTTTTATTATTCTTTTGCCTTTATTATTATTATTATTATATATATATATTTTCTTTATTACTATTATTATATGTTATGTAAATTTATTATTTTGTAAATTTCATTTTATCTTTTTTTATCTTCCATTTTTATTGTTATTTTTATTATCTTCTTTATTCTATGCATTTTTTATATATATATCTTTCTTTATATTTGTTTTTGTGTCTCTTTAATTTTTATTTATCTTGCTTACATTTCCTTTGCATGTTTTATTTTCTCTACTTTATTGCATTTATTTTTATTTTGCTTTCTTTATTTTACTCATTTTTATCCAACACAACTTTTGACTTTTAAAGGGTACATCTTCAATTAATCAGAGGTAAGTAGTTTAGGATCAAATTTTACCTTTTAATTTAAAATTACAATTTTCTTAATTAAAGACAACTGGAAATTGCGTAGTACCGAAAGGGCAGTTTAAGGGTGCTAACCCTTCCATGACTG